TGTCATAGGGATCAGGCCAGGTGAGCTGAATTAAGCATGACTGTGCACAACAGAAACTTTGAGATGTCAATGTCATAATCTATGACATGTAAGTGACCCACACTATTAGGGCACATTTACAAAAAAAAAAAAAGTTTGGGTTCAGAAAGGTCTATATCCTAAAAAATGAATAAGGTGACTCATTCTGCAGCTGTAGTCCTGCAAAATAAATCTTTGCATGATTTTGCAAGACACCCACACTAACAAAACAACATAAACTGTGAGCATTATGTGGCAACTAAAGATTGTGGCCTGACAGGAATTTATTCAATAAGCTGTCTTACTTGACTTGCGATATGGATAAGATAAAATAAAAATAAAAAACACTACCATAAATCAGTTGTCATCTCACTTTTAAGTCAGCAATAAGGTTTGAGAAACTATGTCATGAATATGGCTATGGGCGTAGTTAGAAAAAAAAATTATAATAAATGAAGGTGACCCAATTTCTGAAATGGAATTCAGGGACATTTCCTAGTTCAGTGGTCTACATATTTAAGTATGGCTTGTTATTATCTATGAATAAAAAATAAATAAAAATGTTTTTTTATTATTATTATTTATTTTTATTTTACCTTATAACCTGCAACTGTTAGCCTAATAGTGTAGTAAAATAAAATGAAAATCTGTAAATTATAGACGGTGATTAGTGAAAGTCACTTCAAAAATAATTTACAAAACAAAAAAAAAAACAAAAACTATGATAAAACTTTTTTTTAAAATTACATTTTCTATTAATTGTAATATTTTTATTTTAACAAAGTGTGAATATAATTAAATGTATGCCCAATTGCAACTTCTCAAATGTTTTTTTATGTTTGTGCTATTTTGGTCGGACTTCATTTCTGGTGTTGCTAGAAAAGAGCCACAAGTGTTTGATTATGGTCTGTGTAAAACGGGTCGCGGACGTTTCCACGGGTACAGGACACCAAAAACCAGCACAAATCAGCTGCAAACAGGGTCTATAAGCATATCCAGCATATCCGTCCCCAACAGGGACGTCCATAAGCATATCCAATTGTTACTTGGATATGCTTATGGCTCTGATGCTTACCATATAGCTATTTCAATGGTCACTCCCATTAGCCTACGCGTTAATTGCTGAAGGTATATATGACACAGCGAAATTAAAGAAATGTAGCCCTACTGTAAATAAGCACCTCTGAAGCAAAGTGCAGACTTCTGAGTAGTTTATTATTTTTAGTCGTTTTATAGGCTACGTTAGCTGTAAAATTAATATGGGGTCTTCTTCAAACAGAGAACATATACTTTAAAGAATGTTTTATTAAACGTAGCCAAGTGAAAAGTTTTGCAGAAAAGCTTTATTTCGAAAGTAGAATGGGTTAGAGGAGGAGTCGGTCTTCAGCCACACCTATTCTTCCATATAAAATCAACTTTCAAGAAGACAACTAGCGCTTACTTCAGAACTGACAGGTCACACGGATCGACAGGTAAACAAACCTTGAAATAATATTTGCTAGATTTTCAAACATGTTAAGCATCTATGATAACCTCGAAAGTATTTTCTTCCCACCAGCGCGTTATGTAACGTTAGTAGCCTACAGATATTTGATAGGACTACCCACAAGAATCTACACGCTCGCTATCTACGCTAATGTTTTTTCTTCTTTTTCAGTCGCCTCACCATCGATTGCTTATTTCTACCTTTGTGATCACCATTATGGCTTCAACTCAAAAATGCCAAGGAAAAGGTAAGATAAAGCAAAGAAATCGGACTTTTGCAAACTCGACATCAAACCATCCTGTTGAATAACCATTGTTAAGAATGGCTTTCAGGTGAAAGTGATAAATATTAAAAAATAATGATATATACTTATATAAAATATATTATATAAATGAATACAATATAGCCTAGCCTAATTTTCCATTAAAAATAAGAATGGGCTCCAGATTACTTCACTGATGAAAATCCATGCTTATTTTATGTTCCATTGGTGTAACAGAAAGTCCTGCTCCTGGACCAGTGCCGAATGGTGTTATTCGGCTTTACAGCATGAGATTCTGCCCTTTCGCTCAGAGAACAAGACTGGTGCTCACTGCTAAGGGAGTTAAGTGAGTAGCCTACTAATGTTGACCTATTGTGCAATATTGTTTAGATGGAGGGCTTAAAGGATATAATAAATAATATGCTAATAGGGTTAGTTCACCCAATAAAACTATGTCATTAATGACTCACCCTCATGTCGTTCCAAGCCCGTAAGACCCCCGTTCATCTTCAAACACAGTTTAAGATATTTTAGATTTAGTCCGAGAGTTTTCTGTCCTTCCATTCAAAATGTGTACGGTATACTGTCCTTGTCCAGAAAGGAAATAAAGACATCATCAAAGTAGTCCATGTGACATCAGAGGGTTAGTTAAAATGTTCTGAAGCATCGCAAATACAAAAAATATGTTTTTGTTATTTTTGGACCAAAATGTATTTTCGATGCTTCAAAAAACCCACTGATGTCACATGGATTACTTTGATGATGTCTTTATTCTTTCTGGACAAGGACAGTATACCGTATGAAATATACATTTTGAATAGAGCATAAATTAGTTTTTTTTTTTTCTTTATTAACTTTCTCTGTATTGGTTGCAAGGAAGATCACTCTCTTAAATATGTATCCACTATCCAAAATTGATTTTATATTCCTTTTACAAAGGCATGAGATTATCAACATCAATTTGAAGGATAAGCCAGATTGGTTTCTTGAGAAGAATCCTTCTGGGACAGTACCAGTATTGGAAACCTCAAGTGGTCAGGTGGTATACGAGTCACCAATCACCTGTGAGTACCTGGAAGAGGTCTACCCTGAGAAGAAACTGTGTCCATCTGACCCATTTGAGAGGGCCCAACAGAAAATGCTGCTGGATCTTTATTCAAAGGTTGGTCATTATTGTCATTTGAAACATTTACTGTATAAAACATCTGCCTGAAGAAACTGATGATTTAAATATGGTCCTCCATCAGAAATCTCGTCGTAATCAGGAGATTCAGGACATAAAATATAAACATTTACTCCTAAAAATAAACATGAAAGTTGTGATATTACCTTAAGTATTATCAGTTAAGGAAACCCAAAAAACGATTAGGTAAAACCATAACCTGAGAAGCATTACTTGTGTATTACCATATACATTTTTCAAGTACATTTCTGCAAACTTTAACGGAAATTCATACTCATTTCAGGTGATTCCATACTTCTATAAGATCTCAATGGGCAAGAAAAGGGGAGAGGACGTCGCAGCATCTGAAGTTGAATTTACAGAAAAACTCTCTCTTTTAAATGGGGTGGGCTGAAATACATACACTTTCTTAAAATACAGTTTATCGTGATGATTTATTAATTTAGAACTGCTTTATGTTTTTCTGTATCAGACTCTGGTGAAAAAGAAGACCAAATATTTTGGGGGCGATTCAGTCACAATGATTGACTACTTGATCTGGCCATGGTTTGAGAGGGCGGAGGTGATGAAGCTGAAGCAGTAAGTTTTTGTTTTTTATTAGTGGATATATGAAATATATAATGAATAAAAATGCACACAAAAAATAAAGCCATTGTACCTGACAGCAGGAGGAATAATGTGCTGAGTCACGGAGGTTAAGTCAAACAGATATACAAACAGTGATGAATGACTCAGATTAGTAGAGGTAGGGCTTTGGGTCAAGGTTCCAACTGGTTTGAAAAGCACTTTTCATCAGTAAATGTTGTGCCACACACGGAAAAGCAACCCTTTTTTCACAAGTAAACTTCATGTGAATGTAACTTTGCCTCTTGTATATTTCTCCAAAGAATAACTTGCTTGTGAAACTAATAGTTCTGCATATCTCTTGTCATGTTTCAGTTGTTTGGCCAACACTCCTGTGTTAAGTAAATGGATTGAACGCATGTTTGAGGATCCAGTTGTGAAAGCCACCATGTTCAGCACAGAGGATCACAAGGTGTTCTTCGACAGCTACATGGATGGAAACCCTAATTTTGATCATGGTTTATAGAATAGGGAAGATATTTATCCATCTGTGTGTGGAATTTTTATCACAAATTGTACTTTTTAAAATGGGTATATTAACAAATAGTCATTTGTACATGAATATAAATAAACCAAATGTATGAAACATAAAATCATGTCTATGTTTTTACTTCTAATCTCTATATATTACCAGTTTTCTCTTTGGTGAGAAAAAATGCCACTGAGCCATAAAGTGCATGTTGTGAGGTTGCAAAACATTGCTTCCTGGAAGGGGAAACTGACTAAAAGTTAGGTAAGAGCATTTCCATTTAAAAAAAACAAGATTTTAAAATGGTGACAGTGAAAAAACAAAAGTCAAACTGGCACCCCGCTGCTGTATTGACTGATAAAAAGGAACAGATTTCTATCTTAAAATCTAGCAGACCATTGTACAGGAAAACCTGTGAAACGGCTTCTGCTTGGGCATGTACATGTCTGTCAATAGGCTATGTATTATGATCATGTTACAGAATTAACATGCTCAACATGATTGATATGTCATCATTTGTAATAACAGTTCAAAGATCCTGAATCAGCTGCCCGATCAATGATAAATAATACAAGGGTGTTTCTTCAACTATGAGCACTTTTGGCCCTGTGTGCTTCAAGAAAACTCCTATAAGATCCTATTATTTATATACCAGAACTGTGTGTGCATTATTTTAGATGTGACAGAAATTACATTTGCTGGTTTATAAAAAAGGATGTAAAGGGGAAATTGAAAACTGTGGTGAAAATGGAATTCTGTCAATTTTGCAAGTATGTTTTATGGAAACTTGTTTAAGGTAAATGCGAGTTGATATCCTGCAATTCTTACTTTTTTCTCAGAATTGCAAGATATAAACTCACTGTTGCAACAAGTTATAAAGTCAGAATGGCAAGAAGATAAACTCGTAATTGCGAGTCACATAGTCATAATTGTGAGCTGACTTTTTTCTCAGAATTGGACATTATAACACGCAGTTATCTCACAATTCTGAAAAAGGTCAGAATAAATACGGCATTGAGAGAAACGACTTTTCAACTGAATAAAGATTTTCCTGCCATCGGCGATAGATATCAGCAACTACCTCGTTTTACAGACATACTTTCACTTTACAAACTTTGGAAATGTTACACAAACAGCCACTTAAGTTGTATTAACTCACCTTTGACAAAGTGATCACTAACCTTACACACACGGGCATTTTCCCATTCGGCTCCTCCCGACAACAGACATGACAGACGTAGGTTTTGCATGCAAGCCGTTTTTCCAGAGTTTTTCGATCAATTTCTTGCATTTCCCCCCTTATGAACAACAACTTTTGGTACACGATAAAAAACACCTCGTGGTTTGATCGATTCAAGTAACCATAAACGACGCACTTCCGGCCCTCCATTTGTATTTCGCGCCATGGTAACGCCATGGGTAACGCAGTGACGTGACGTCATATGAAAACAAGCAATTTTGACTTTATAACTCGAGTTTATATCTAGCAATTCTGAGGGGAGAAAAGTCGCAATATACTTTACCTTATATATTTTTTTAATCCTTGGTGGAAACGAGCTTCCTTACATCCACTTGTTTTCATAATTAAGTAAAATTACAGCTGGATTGGAAACAATGCATGAAAAAACATGTTCACAGAGTTAAAATTAATTTTACTTGAGTTTTCTTCACATACAACATCTAATTTCATCTCAAGCATTCACACACTGTTTCCCTCTTGTCAAATAGAAGGTATAGGGGCTTTTGAAATAAACGTAATTTTATTACTATTATTATTATTATTATTATAACCCCATTTTGTTGTTGTTGAAAATGATTTTAAGATTTAAAGTCTTGGTTTGGACTAGTGAAATAATAGAAGCTAAAGGCATTTGAAAAGTAGCAAAAATTTATGCTATAACAATGTGACCTTTTTATAACATAATAATACAATTAAAATGAAATTTGGTCCTCTGGGACATAAAAGGTTCCCATAGTTGAAGAAACACCTAAATCTCATAATAGCATCAGTAACAGTCAGAGCTTAACATATTGTTTACATTCGAAGTGCATAAAATCATGTAATTAGGCTGTAGAAATCCCCTGCACTCAAAGCCAGAGCAACTGGTAAGTCTACACATGGTCTGTTGAGCTGAATTCATGTCCCACGTGACCATTAGAAAAGTGAGGGGTATATTCCTGAACAAGCACAGATGTATTTCTGACCATCTCCTGAAAATGCTCCTCCATTTTGGCATATACGTGCCTCTGCAACACAAGAGGCCTAAACAGGTTTATCGGCTCTGCAGAACAGATGATTTTGGGAACCAGAATTTCAATTGGGATCCGTGGGTTCCCAACAACGACGTGATATAGTCTCTTTTCCTCCAAGCTTTGCTGAAGGAAGCTGAGCAGATCTCGTAATCTGTGATTAAGATTCTGCGGCTGCCACATCGCAAGACGTTTACTCAACAGCAGATGCAAGAGCGCCGTCTTTATATGGTAATTAGAAAAGGCGCTTCTCCCAGTCAAAGCCGTCTGCTTTTTGTGCAAGAAAGAAACTATCTGAAGACAATGAATGTGACACGAGTTGGTAGGAAGTCGTTTCGCTAGGTATTTAAGCAGATTTCTTTCATAAACGGATAGTGAGAGTTGCCAGTGAATGTCTGAGGAGTTGCTAGTGTCAGATGGGAAATGAGAGATAAGGTAAGCGTCCGTTTCCTCCAACTGAACAGCAGGGGTAACATTGAGAACGACAGTCTTTCCAGACCTAAACTTGATTTTAAGAGCTCCGGGGAAGTCAAGGTTCTGAAATGCCAGCTCAAAATCATACTTATGAGAGATATGGCCCCATGCTTTAGTCACTGAGACCTGAAACCATCTCATGATCTGATCTTTTGACAAATACGTGGTGTTCCTTGCACAGAGGAGTTCCACCAAAGTGTGTTCCTCAAGCTTTTCACCCTCATTTTTATTGTGAAGCAGACATAGCATATCATCACCAAGATTGATTGAGCCACAGAGACAACCTGGTTTTATGAGTTTAATCCTTCCACATCCTTGCAGGTCAAGTGGGATTTCAGTGGCAGGGTCGCACCAGAGCTGAAACTGGAACTTGAATGGCTGGGGTGGAGAAAAAGGCACAATAAGGTCACACATAGGAGGTTTAGACACCCTCCAGGACTCAAACATACTTCCTATGCCAACAAACTCCTCGACTTCCAGGTCAGCTACTCGATCGCAAACCCTTCTCAAGGCCTCAAGCAAATCATCTGCAAAGCCTTCGATAAACTCCCGCACTCTCCCGGTCTCGTGGATAAAAGGGTGGAAGCGGGTCTTGCAGAAGTTATTTAGGACGTCTTTATCTAAGGCTACTGACTTCGCGCTGAGATATCCGGCACTGGAATCTCCGTCTTCGTCTTCCACTGGGTCTGGAATTTCAGCAGGGATCATATCCTGCCTGCAAACCTCAATTGTGAAGAAAATAACAAGGCAGAGGGCGCTCCAAAAGTACCAGCCATAACTGTCCTGATCACCAATCAGAGCTGTTTCTGTTTGTGAGATCTCCTGCTCCAGGAGCTTCTGTTCGGCCTCCAGATTCTCCTGGTGCTCTTTCATCCGGGCCAGAAGATCCTCATCTTGCTCACTGATGGTGGTGTTCTCATTAGGGAAGAGCAGAGGATGGTTCAGGATAGCGGCTACTATCACCACGCAAACCCGTGTAATAGCACCTTGCATCCTTTACTGTCCGTCTGGAAAACATATTTCAGGATTATTGTCAGCTTCTTAAAAGGAAGGAAACCCTTATCTTCTAACTTTTGCGAAAACATCTCATCATCAGAGTGCTAATTGTGAACTGTAATAGAAAAGACTGTCCTGCACTGGAAGGAAGTCCGATAACCCTTGTCAAACAACATAAATTAAACCAGCCAGATAACTGTATCCAGATAGAAGTATCCACTAATAACAACTATGATTTACTTATTTTTCTTAATACAAATATTGATATCAGGGGAGAGAATCTGCTTAATTTGATGTTTGGGTAAAAAAAACAAACTGTTCTCTTGACTGAAACTTAAGAAGCAACATATACATGTAGGCCTACTGAGGAGGAAGTTATGTAATTGGTTTATTTATGGAGTGGCACTTGGAGTCTGTGATTCTTGGAATGAGGCAGATTAAATTCCAAATTTATACAAACTGCGAGCTACTGGCACATACAACAGCTCCACCTAAAGGCATTTTATTTAGACCCTTTCCACAGAAAGATAAGAAGGCAAACAAATACTCTCATTCAATTTAATTTTCTGAAATTTACCAAAATATAACAGTTTACACGATTCATCAAACTTACTTACTGATATTTTTAAGAATGTTTATTAAAAACACAAAATTGCAACTCACAAATTTCAGTCTTTTAAACAGTATTTCCACATTTTTCAATCACATGTCTATATTTTGATAACATCTCTTCTCTTCTATACTCGCAAAGAGTATAGAAGACAGAATATTATATAGAAGATTAATTAACTCATACAAAAGTTCACTCACAATCTCACAAGGTATTTTGAAGGCTATAAGCATGCACCAAGGAGGTTTAATTTTTTATTTATTTTCTTTTTACTAAATTTTCATGAAATGAATGCCAACATGGAACAGCATCAGATCCCACGTTGAACAGCAGCACAAAATAACAACAACAAGTTTTTGAATAGGGAATAGTTTACACGACAACATTGGTAGTTGACTTATAGAGCAGTAACTAGAGAGCTCTAGTAAAGACGCTAATTGGGAAACTGGTGTGGCGCTGAAAATTGTTCCAGACAACAACTAAAGCAAATATGAAATAGTTAGACACTATAACGGAAGGAAGACTCGTTAACACATGACTGGAATGAATCATTAAGGTGTCAGTGAGAACAAGACGACTGAAACTTGTAAAGGGCGGTGACTATGCTACTTAACTGCAGAAGTCTCCTTTTAATCAACAAATTCGACATAATTGAGTATTCTTATTTTGACATATTAAGATGTTTTACAAGACCGTTGTGGTCTTTTTTCTCATTTGTATCACAGCTGTTACAGTGTCAATCTATAAAACAACAGGCGGAAACAACACGCGCTAAGTCTTTGTTTAAAACCAAGAAAAGAAAAATAACTTACACCCTAATATCCAAGAGTTAACGTCCAGCGTTGTTCATTGCCTCAGAATAATACTGAACCGACACAAGAGAAAGCGCTGCTGCAGTACCGTTATTCTGCAGTTTCCTCATCTGCTCGATTCGCATGAAGCTAGCTGCTCTCACATCCAGGAAGTGACCAAAGTGGCCGTTTTCACTCCTCTATAAAAAGCACGTGGGTCAGCCCTGTTCTTGAGTCAACATCACATAACCATGTAACACACACACGCAAGCACACACGCCATTCTTCGGGATGGTGAACACATTGATGTTTTTCTAGACGTGACGTGAGTTTAAACTTACTTTAAATAGTTGGCCTACTTAAATAATATTATACGTGCCTGTATTCTCTAAGGACGTATAGCCTACATACAAAAATAAATGACATATTTCAAATTTGTTTTTTCGACAAGGCATTTACGTTCTAATAAATGAATAAATAAATAGGCTACGAATAAAATGTATAAATAAATAAATACGAATAAAAAATACGAATGTCAGCTCTTTTGAAAGATGTGCGGCTGCGCAGACTAGTAAAGACGGAGGACAATACCCACACGAGGTCGCTGCCTTACCAAACTTCAGTTGACAATACACACATAGTACCATATACTGTAAAAAAGGCTACACACAATATTGTTTAGATATAAGAGTTTCTGTCAAATAACCATAATTGTAATCATCCGTTGGTAATGATTTTATATTCGATTTTCCTATGGGTGATGCATGCTACAAAAATATCCAACCATAATCATCATCTGAGGGAGGGCTGCTGCCCCTCTCTCACTTTTTAAAAAATAAATAAAAATACTAAATATAGCCTAAATATGAGCATAATTGTGAAATATTTCCTCACACGACCCTTGGAATTGTGTTTAATTAAACAACAAAGAAAATCAAACCCGTTTAAAGCAGTTGTAAAGGGAGGTATTTCTGGCTTGCGCACATTTGGGTGTGCCCAAAGGGAGCTTACAGGTGCGCACGGCCGCGCGCTTTACTTATGAACTCATCGCACTTCAGCACGCAGAGATCGCGAGATGCGTTAATAATTGTGAATCATTCATTTTTCACCTGATCCAGATAATTGTATTTGAGTTTCTTTGGATTTTTTTGCGTTTTTTGACTTGATCAGCGCACATTGCAGAAACAGCGTATTTGGCGGTCATTGTCAGATAAGTAGCCTACCTTTGACAGCCTCTAATATAACATAAACTGTAATTAATGGATCGTTTAAAGTTGGTTTTACAATATTTCCAGTCAAATTCGGAGTCCATCTCCAATGGTATCTGTATAATATTGTCACTGATAAGCGTCAAGTTGTATACAAGTTTTGATTTCAACTGCCCCTGTTTACCGCAATACAATAAGATGTACTCAATGGGGGTCATGTTCGTCCCCCCAATTATACTGTTCCTTTTGGGAGTGTTAGTTAATCGCCATACTGGGGTGATGATGGAAGAGTGGGCCAGACCCCTGGGCAAGAGGACAAAAAATCCGGCTGTGGTAAAGTGAGTTTGAAGCTAAACAATATTATTTGACTAAATAATATTAATATTGATAATACAAAAATATTAACTATTATCCTTCTCCCAGATTTCTACTGTCATCAATGATGCAACGGTCCCTTCTCGCCCCCATGGTCTGGATTTTGATGACACTCTTGGATGGAAAATGTTTCATCTGTGCATTTAGTATGAACGTAGACCCTAAATATTTTACAGGAATACCTAACAGCACCGGACTAGAACTAATCAAGATCATGGCTAAGGTGCCTTGCAAAGAAGATATCATCTTCAAAAACAGCAGTTTTCGGAAAGCTATATCACGCTATGTGCGTTGTTACTCTCAAGTAAGTGTGCTTTTCTCACTTTTTTTTTGCATGCTTACATTCTAGTCAATGATGTCAATGGCATTTTTGACTTGAAAGCTGCAGTAAGATGTTCCATTTTGACTTGAACAGACATTTTTCAAATCTGTAGGTGGTTAAAACCCTTTTCTACTCTGCATAGTGATTCGGATTCCATTCAATGTTTCCTTACATTTTTGTGTAATTTTTTTCTGATTACATACATAGTGTTCAGTCAATGAACTGTGAAGTCAATGTCATTTTTGACGTGATAGCTGACAAGTTTAAGCTGTACAAAGTTGACAGGAACAGACCTTTAGCAAATCTGTAGGTGGTTAAAGTCTTTTCATACTTTTGTACAACCACATGATTCATCTATTCTTCTTGACATTTTATCTTCTTTTGAAAGGCAATCGGCTGGTCGATACTCCTCATCCTTATTCTTTTGGGTGCCGTGGGTCGCGTCATCAAGCCTTGCTTCAATCACGCCACTTTTCTGCAGACTCGTTACTGGAGCAATTACCTGGACATTGAACAGAAGCTCTTCGATGAGACCTGTGTCCTTCATGCCCGAGATTTTGCCAGAAAATGCGTGGTTCAGTTCTTTGAGAGCATGCGAGAAGATGTGACTGTGAGAATGCCCCTCTCAAGTGCACTCAGAGCCAGCACAATCCGTAATGAATACGAAGAGGAAGAAGAAGAACGTCTGCATGGTATTACCAGGCAAGATCAGGTGGATCATTTGCTGCAAACATGGTATGAGTGCAAACCAGAACTGGATGTGACCAAGATGGCCTATAAGCCCAAAGTATGCATCACTTGGGAAGATTGCAATGGGAAGGTGTTATTCTCTGAGGTGTGAAATTGAGAAAAACAGATCTCACCTCTTAAGTAAGAATTCATGCAAATATGTGATGTTAATAAAGGTAATGAAAAAATATTGATGAATCCCAAAATTGTAATAAATTGAGGTCTAAATAACTGATTATTGTTCATTCAGAGGCAAAAGCTTGCATGCTGATGCATATGTAATGTACAATGAATGTTTCATCATATGAATTTAGAAACCAAACATTTTTTAATTGTAATGCTGTTGTCAGATTATTGTCAATTCAGAAAGCATTTTAACCCATTTCAAGAGCTTGCATGCTGGAGCATTTGAATATGCTGGGATTTAGTTTGTGTAATTTTGCATTTCTCTCTCCACACACATTACACAACAACCTCATGGATATGGCTTGGATGCAAATGACTGCGGAACCTTGGCAACACCTGAAAAAAGATGTGTAATGTTCATGTATATGTCTGTCTGTATTGTGTATGTGTATTTATTAATAAACAATTATGTTTATCATCTTAGCTGTGTGACAGACCACTGTCACCAAATGTTGTATTTGTATATTTTATGCATGACTTGAAATGTACTTTTGCCTCCAGTAAACATTTTCAGTGTGATCAATTTTGCCCTTTATGTGGTTGACATGCAGGAAACAATATAAGCACTGCCTGGACAATGTAAGAACGAAAATCACACCCATGTATAGAACTTCTAAAGGAGTGGCCTGTCACTCATTGGTATTGATGCTTAAGTTCACCAGGTGAATGTTTCATAGGACTCATCTCCGCTCCGCAGTCTTGCTTTCTTTTCTCTCTGACAAGATAGAGTAAGTCTTTGATTATTTAAATACTATTTAAATAATATTTATTATTTAGCTGTGTAACTTCACTCTAATATTTTGCTCTAAAAGGTGAACTCCCTTTCTGAAAATGGATAAGTTTCGGATTATGGTCCAGTTTTTGCAAGCCAACCAAGAGTCCTTTATGAATGGCATCTGTGGGATCATGGCTCTGGCAAGTGCTCAAATGTATTCCTCTTTTGAGTTTACATGCCCTTGTCTTCCAGCCTACAATTATGCATATTCAATCGGAATTCTAATCGTGCCACCAATATGGTTCTTTTTACTTGGATATGTACTTAACAACAACATTTCAGTGTTAACTGAAGAATGGAAGAGACCGATGGGCAAGCGCAGAAAAGATCCAGCGGTTTTGCGCTACATGTTCAGCTCCATGACGCAGCGCGCTCTCATCGCTCCAGTTGTTTGGATAGCCGTAACTTTAATGGATGGCAAGAGCTTTTTGTGCGCTTTCAGTCCCACGGCGGATTTATCCGAGTTCCTCAACGAGACTTATAAAGGCTTATCAAAATATGAGCTTCAGAAATTACAAGCAACTATTCCATGTGAAGACGTATTCGATGGGCATGGTATTATCTCCAGAGATGCGGCCACTAGGTATATTCGCTGTTTTTCACAGGTAATGCTCAACTTGGTGTCTATGGGGTTTTCAAAATATGGCTTTTGAAAATGTGTTTTTGTTGAGGGAAAGAACTTCAATCGCATTAAGCATTGCGACTGACATAATTAAAATTGACGAAAAAAATATATATATATATATATATATATATATATATATATTGACGAAAAAATTATATATATATATATATATATATACCTAGGCCTATATAACTGTAGACTTATATAACATTGTATGCATATATATATATATATATATATATATATATATATATATATATATATATATACCTAGGCCTCTATAACTGTAGACTTATATAACATTGTATGCATATATATATATATATATATATATATATATATATATATATACATTAGTGCTGTCAAAGCGATTAATCACATCTAACATAAACGTTTGTGTTTGTTTACAATAGATGTGTGTGTAAATATCTAATATTAAATGTGCATATTATATAAATGTCTCTCTGTGTGTGTGTGTGTCTGTCTGTCTGTCTGAGCAACATGTGGTATATGAAATATATCTAAATTTGATTACACACACACATATTATGTAGACACAAACTTTTATGTTAGATCAATCACGAATCAATTGAACATCATGGAAATATATGAATTTATATAGGCCTATATGTGTGTGTGTGTGCACATGCACTCACTGGCCACTTTATACTGCTAGTAGCTGCCTACTGGAAAAGGGGGTCCCTTTTGCCTTCAGAACTGCCTTAAACGGACATTGTGTACAAATTGCTGTCAACTAGCGGTGAAAATGTATTTTGCATTGAAACGAATTGTGCTATAAGCACTTCGTCGAGTGTTCCTTCGGTGAACAGGTTTGTTATTTCAAACAAACAGCAACTTGACTCAACGAATGAACGAATGCTACAGTATGAATTACTGACTGTGAAAAACATGAACTATCTTTATTCGTTATATTCTTAAGTAGCCTACGTGCAAGATATCATCATCAACTTTTAACTATAAATGTTCATCTGTCTATATAATGAAGTATAGACACAACCAAACAATGAAAAAAGCTTGTAATTATGACTGTAACATTGATTTACCTGTCGAGAAGAAAGCAGGACTTCAGCGTCTCGTTTGAACTCTTTCTCCTCTATCCACCTGGAAAAAGCTATCCTGACATTAACTTGTGTTTTTTGTAATCTCCGGTTACTTTTCCTTTTACAATCTATTTTTTGGACTTTTCTGGCAACGAGGATTTGCAATGCAGCCTTTGAAACTTGCCGGGGCCGTGAAGCGCCTCTCACTGCTCTGCTCCTCCAGTTCTGCTGATTTCAGTCACGTCACGCTGGCTCTGAACGAAAACGCGTTGGCCTAGGACTTTATGTCCCTCTCTGCTATTATAGTTTTTCAAGATGGCGGAACTACATGGAAGCCTCCGTGGACTTACCCGTCCCATGTATATAAAGATAATAAATTCTTCGTTCATGAGGATAAGTCATATAGTTGGCAGAGGTACACCATTGAGGATATATTTATGAATAAAAATATTGATTTTAAATAATAAATTACATAAAAAGTTACACATAGTCCCTTTAAATGTGCAGTAAGTGATTCCTGAGAATCCTTGTTGAACACTGTTAATATTTGAAATCAGATATCTATAAAAGAGTGAATGAATGTCTCTTCATCATAGCAGAAGTGAAGCAAAATAGAGCTTTGAGACAAATGAAGAGAAGAAAAGATGATGAATTAATGACAAGAAAGAACAAAAGAGAACATACAGTACACAAGTACAAGCAAGAGTTTGTTAATCAGCAGCAGAACGCTAGCTTGACTACGTTAGACTTCGCACTTCCGCTCAATTTCAGTTCGCTTCTGTTCTCAGTCTAAGATCGCGACCTATCTCTCAGTTTTCCTCTGACCTTGAAAACGGATGTATCTCCATATCTCCGTGGATATGGAGATACGGGATGCGATTCGCTCTGTTGTGGAGAATATTCCTGGCATTTGCAAACTGAAGCCCAAACAAGAAGAGTGTTTGTCAAACATTTTGAATGGAAGTGATGTTTAAGTTTGAGAGAGAGGTGGTTGTGTTATGTGATTGGCTTACTGGTAACTAATGATCTTATACTTTAGACAAGCTTTAGAAAACACTATTCAGTTATGCCATTCCAGACTCTGTCTACCAAGCAAAGTGAAGTAGCAGAGTTTGGTATTACCAGGCTAGCAGAATGCACTCAAAACCAAATTTCCTCACACATATAGAGCAGAAACAATGCAACCTAGGCATCCGTTTTCAGTCCTTCCCGCTTAGGTCTCAAAGGTCCTAATGCTCCTACCTGATCGTAACCCTTCTTTTCCAGTGATATTCCTCAGACCTTTTTTTGTAATGTATCTCAGCCATCTCTCTTACCGACAGCAGTCATACCATGCTGATGAGCCCCATCCCAAGACATCATATACACTCTCAGAAAAAAAGGTACAAAAGCTGTCACATATTAGCACCTAAAATGTACATATTAGCTCCTGAAATTTACATATTAACTCCTGAAATGTACAGATTAACACTTAAAATGTACATATTAGCACCTAAAATGTACATATTAGGACCTAAAATGGAAATTTTAGCTCCAGAAATGTACACACGAACACTTAAAATGTACATATTAGCACCTAAAATGTACATATTAACACCTAAAATGTATGTATTAACCAACGCATTCTCACCCTTTAGCGTCAGAACGCTATATGACAAAACGGCGCTATACTACGCACATGGCACCCGTTATCGTTAATATAACACGTACTGTGATGGTTAGGTTTAGGTGTGGGGTAGGGTAGGGTAGTCTGATATTACGCTAAAAGATTTATGACACCTGACACATGTGCGTAGTATAGCGCCGTTTGTCATATAGCGTTCTATGTGACGCTAAAGGATGAGAACGGGCTGATATTAACACATAAAATGTACATATTAGCACCTAAAATGTACATATTAGCACCTAATAATATGTACTTATTAGCACCTAAAATGGACAAAAGGTTACCTTTTGAAAAGGTACAGCCCCAGTGACAGCTTTTGTACCTTTTTTTCTGAGAGTGTAACTGACGCTTTTGACCATACGTCAACATCCGACGTTTTAGGGTACCCTTTCCTAACCCTACCTCAGACCTAAACCTACCCGCATCATCTAACTGACGCTAAAGGTAAAGCATCAGTTAGATGACGCCCTAGGATTGTCATCTAACTGACGTTAAAGGGTACCCTAAAACGTTGGATGTTGACGTATGTTCAAAAGTGTCAGTTAGATGATGTCTTGGGATGAGAATGTGTTGTGCTGATACCAAGGGGCTCAAAGGGTGCCAAAAAATATCTTAGCCTAAACTGTTGATACAATGCAGGATCCATGCTTTTGTTGTTTAAGCCAAATTCTGACCCTACCACCTGAATGTATAGCAGCAGAAATCGAGAGACTTCAGACAGGAAACATTTTTTCAATCTTCTATTGTCCAATTTTAGTGAGCCCATGTGAATTGCATCCTTAGTTTCTTTTTACCTGTTTTAGCGGAGAGGCACCCAGTGTGGTCTTCTGCTTCTGTAGCCCATCTGCTTTAAGGTTCGAGGTGTTCACGTTCAGAGATGTCCTTCTGCAGACCTCAGTTAAAACAAAATTTGAGTTACTGTTACTTTTCTATCTGGTTGAACCAGTCTGACTATCCTCCCCTGGCTTCTCGCATCAACAAGGCATTTGTGTCCACAGAAGTGCCCCTATTTTCTCTTTTTCTGACCATTCTCTGTAAAATTTGTGCATGAAAATCCCAGTAGGCTAGATCAGCAGTTTCTGAAAGTTTGTACTTCAGAAGATCGTCTTGACCATGTCTGTCTACATGCCTAAATGCATTGAGTTACTGCCAGAAATTGGCTGATTAGATATTTGTGTTGTATTACAATATTGAACAAGTGTACCTAATGAAGTGGCTGGTGAGTGAATATGTAAACAAACACACACAAATATAAGCAAGTTATTTTTTTTTTTGTACAATAAAGCTTTTTACAATTAATTATAATCCATCTAATCACTCCAGGAACATTGTGAATCGAAACCACAACAACTGAAGCAGCTAACTTTGCAAAACACAAAATTTATGTTAGTGCTAATACTTCTGATCACAGCTTCAAATTAGCTTAGCAGAAGACAACCAACCATAAATTGCCTCATCTCTTCTTTTATGCGCTAAAAAAACTGAATTTGCTGAAACAGAACTATTTTACATTTTGGTGAATTGGTGGCAAATCTTCGTACAATCTGCTTACCTCCTCTGATGTTTATGTTTATGGGTGGGATTAGGGGTGGAGCTTCATGCTTCTTTTTTTTTTTCTAAAAATCATACAAAACCGCCATCTTGTAAAACAAAGTAAGTTTTAATGTCAAACATGCACCTAGAGGAAAGAAGAAACTATTATTTTAGAGATTATTACTAGAATTTATGGTAACACTTTACAATAAGGTTCATTAGTTAACATCAGTTAATGTATTAACTAACAAAAACTGGTTTGTTACAGTATTTATTAATCGTTGTTAATGTTAGTTAATAAAATCCAGCTTCTCAATGTTTGTTCTTGTTCTTAATCTTAACAAATACAACCTTCAATTTGAATAATGTAGCTATTAATAAATGTTGAAATAAATATGAACTGAGATTAATAAATGCTGTAGAAGTACTGTTCATTCTTAGTTCATGTTAACTAGGTAGTTAACTAATGAATCTTATATATTGTAAATTGTTACCGAATTTATTTTCATGATTTAAATCAGACATTTTCACAGTTACACAGGAGGTTATTAAAACATGCCCAATAATAATCAGGACCTCATGGTAGAAATGGGCTATATATTGCATTAATCTGCTATGTTTTTTTGTTTTTGTTTTTTAGGCCTGTGGATGGATATTTTTAATGATAATAACTGTAGTCGCCTTCTTGGTAAGAGCAATAAGACCTTGTTTCAGTCAAGCGGCCTTTCTTAAAACCAAATATTGGTCACACTACATTGATACAGAGCGCAAACTATTCGATGAAATGTGCAAAGAGCACGCCAAGAGCTTCGCCAAGGTCTGCATACAGCAATACTTCGAGAGCATCAGTGGTGAAATTGTTCCACAACTCTCCACACCCATGAAGAAAGGGAAAGGAAATAAAGATGATGATGGGGAAAAACAGAAGAGCGACGAGGAGAAGCTTCTTGGGATCCGTAAAGAAGACGACATGAATAAAGTCCTGTGGAACTGGCATACATGTAAACCCCCACTACTGGTGAATAAACGTGCTGAAGATATGAATGGACATGCACTCTTGGATACTCACAGCTTTTCTGATGAGCGCCACTCTCAGAAACCTATGAAGAAAACAGCTGTGGCATACTACTCCAAAGTCTGACTTAATGTTTTAGTCTTACAAATGAAGAATTGAATGAAGTACTTTAGCAGTACTCACTGTCAAGAGAGTCCTGTTTTTATATAGTCCTATCTCATTTATATTTATTGCATGTAACTTCCTATTTTATATCCCCCAGAGACTTAAGTCGATCTATGTTGTTTGTTACCATAAATAAATGAGAACATAATTAATAGGATATCATGGGCTTTGATACGGTACATTAAGGTGTTAAAGGTGTGACCAATATGAATAGAGTGATGATGACGATGTTAATGATGAAAATGACACCTTTTTATCTCCGTCTTACTAAATTTAAGCTATTACCTCATTTAAATTTGGGAGGCGTTTGTCTAATCCGTCAGTCACCTCAAGGCCTTTTAGCAGCTGGTTATTTTTGCTATCTGGCAAGTTTTGATGGTTACTAAGTGATCAAAGTACCACATCCTAAATTATTTTTCTCATAAAACCAACAGATATCGCATCCTAAACATTAAATCTTATCGGAGATTGCTTTTGAGGCTTCACTAGAAAAATCATTGCTGTTTTTATATTTGCAATTGTATAACTGGCTTCGTAACTCTTTAAGTTTACACCACCTGGGGCTTCTACCATGATGGCTGTTGAACAAACTCAGGGTTACAGGATTAATTGACAAAACCAAACCAATTCAAACAGTCCTTGTTGGTACCAAGACGTTGTTCGTCAACTTTCTCTGTCGACGCAAGCTGTGAATATGTTACTTTGCAGCAGACGTGTCACTTTGCTCACAGCTGATTGGTCCAGTTTTGGTTTGAGATCTCTTGGTTTGAGATCAGGTTAGCTGTGGTGCGTACATCTGTGATGAACATCGCTAAAAGCCAAGCCACTTTTGGCACAAAATAAACTGAAACATAACTGGCTAAAGCCAACTAAACTGGCTTCATGAATCATGGTATAGGCCCCTGATGGTTCTGAGCTCACATTTTTCATTTCACGAAAATAATTATTTAGTTATGTTCTTCAGTTTAAAGATCAGTATTTATTACTAACTAAAATTACTCACCAATGAGGGTATCTTAAAGCTAAGGTTCTCAGCCAGAGGTCACAAAAACTTACAAGACTTAGATTAATTAAACAAATTTAGCTTTAGAATAAGGTAAAAACAAGTCAAAATCAAGGTACTTTTTATTTAATTCACACCAAAAATTCAGGAATTCTAAAATGTAATAATTTTTTCATATATAATTAGTAGCTTATTTTAATCTATGGTCATTGCTAATTTCTGTTCATTGAAAAAGGGGAAAACGCTTCCATATTGTTGTGGATAATGTGGGGCCTCAAAACCACTGTCCTTAAAGGAACAATGGCCTGACCTCAGAACTTACTTGCTGTGAAATAAGTTATTTATTCTGAGTTTCTGTGCACGTTGATGCTTTCATTTTGTATGTCTCCTTGATTAAACACACCTAGTTTAACTTCAAGACTTGTAAAATGAGACTCAAATGAATTTTGGAACTTGGGAACCACTGCCAGATCTACTGGGTCTCAGGAGTAATTTTGAACAATACATTGGATGGCAGTTAAAGAGAAATAAATGTTGTTGTTGTTGTTGTTGTTGTTTTTCGTGCATGTGTCTGATCTTACTCAATTACTTTAGCCCATCCTATTTTTAGTTCCATTAATGCTGAAACCAGATTGTAATTGCTCTTGGTGATTCACTGCTATACACACACACAACAGACGGAGCGGGGAAGGATCTCACTCATTTACCACAACAAATAGAGCTACATATCGAGATTTTGTTGTCATTGTTGTTGGTTTAAAAGCATCTTTTTCATTCTGCTATATGATTTTAAAACTGTGTGACTGTTCAGCAAGACCATTTGTACCTCCTGACTCTGGAATGTAAGTCTTCATTTCATAAATAATTCGATTTTTAGTAATAACAATAATAACTTATTTAAGTGGCGCTTGGGCAAACTTTTCCCAATTAATTACTTTTATATGAATTAAATCCATATTGTTACTCTACAAGTAAATTTCTCTTGGAAGAATTTGTAGAATAAAGCTGTTTCTGCAAAGGTAAAGGATCTACATGCCTTCTTCATCTCTCTTTTTCAGGGTTTTAGGTTTTATTTTCAACGATCACCATCAGCGGAAACAAACTGAAAAAGGAAAGCAAGGTCATATCAAGAGAAAATGTCTGTGCTTATCTCAGACTACATCAAAATTATTTCTCTGTACATCAAGAGTAAGGATGCTACGGTCTTCAATGGTCTTATAGGTTTAGGAACAGTGGTCGGTCAGACGGCATACAACATCTTAGCATTTAACTGTCCATGTTCAGAAAAGAAAAATTACCTGTACGGTCTGGCTGCCATTGGTGTACCGGCTCTGGCTTTCTTTGTCATTGGGGTAATGCTAAATCGAAATACCTGGGATGTTGTGTCAGAGTGTCGCACCAGAAAATGCCGGAAACTATCGGTGACTGCTGCTTTTGCTCTTTTGGGCTCCATTGTGGGCAGAGCAGTCGTTGCCCCCATCACTTGGTCTATTATTTCTCTCCTGAGAGGGGTGGCGTATGTCTGTGCTTTCAGTGAGTTTGTAGACCCCTCTTCTTTGGACAATTTCTCTTCAAACACACCTGGTCCAGAAATCATGGCCCGGTTTCCATGCAAGGATGTACCTGCTCCATATATGAACTACTCAAGAGTGATTGAACGCCAGTTAAAGTATGAATCCCAGGTACTTATCACTTTTTGTTGTTATTGTCCCTATTGCATGAACACTTCTTGAATGTTCAAGCTATTTTTTTCCCTCTTCTTCATATAGATGTTGGGCTGGTTGCTGGTAGGAATCATCTCGCTCTCCGTCATTCTCCTTCTCTGTCTGAAAAATTGCTTCTCTCCTCTTGGCTATCATCAGGAGGCGTACTGGTCTCAGTATCGTTCCAGCGAACAAGCTCTTTTCCAGCGTACAGCTGAAGTGCATGCTAAATACAATGCAGCTGAAAATGTCAAGAATTATTTTGGCTTTGTGGCCTTGGAAAAACAGGAGAAGGAGCTTCTAGCAAACTGCAGGGGAATTAAGAGCGTCATACCCAGAATGGAGTGGAACCGCGTCACTGGAGTTTACATGTACAGAGAGGTTGATGACACTCCCCTGTACAGTCGCTTGAACAAATGGGCCATGTACACAAATGAGCATGGCTGTTAAGTACTTGGCAAAGAAACTGACATCCTTTCATATTTGCCTATGACAAATGAGTGTCTGATGAATAATACTACACACCTAAAAAGTAATACCTTTGGTATTAAGAAACACCCAAGAATTATGTGTACCATATATGAAATTTAAAAAAATTGTTCACTTAACAGAATTCAAAAGTTTAAAAAAAAGAATAATTATTCTCATTTCTAGTGCAAAATTGTTATTTTGTAAGAAATCAAGTAATGTTCTGATAAAAAAAAATAAACAAATGTTTAATGTGTTTATAGACTAGTGTGCTATTGTTTTATTTAGTTAGATTGTTGGAAACAGAAGCTAAATGATTACATAATTCAAAGCAAACAAAGAAACAAAAACTATATATTGAGGGACAGTGCTCTAGTCTTATAGGGACTGTGTCCCTTGTTTAAAACTGCAATGATGATGGCTGTTGGATCACAATTTACAACTTTCAGTAATCAGTAATCAGTTCAGGCTTTTTATTAATGTGAAACCTGATAGACGGTAAGAAACTCGATGTCAAACTCATTGACTTTGGATGCGGTGATCTCTTGACAGAATCTGCCAACACGAGATTCTCTGGTGCGTATTACTTCTAAAAACTCTTGTGAATCAGTAAACTCAACACTCGTATGTAGGCTAATGGATGCCAAGAAGACAGGTGGTAGAGACTTACACATTGGACAAACTTTCCTCCAGGCACAGTTATGTACCGCCCTCCCGAGTTCAGAATGAAGGGCGAGGAGAGGCTCTGATCTTGGTAAGTGGCATGAATGCAGAGTTTTCCCCCAGGTTTAGGGAGTGACCTGGTGAGTGAGATGAGACGGGGTGGTGGAGGGATTCTGAAGACTGTGAAACATCCTTAGGTGAGTTTGACTGTGCTTATATATGGTTTAACTTCCTGCTGATTGGGTAGATTTGTTGATCACTGATTGTAGACAGCTGGTGATACTAGAGTATTTGTGATTACTGATTGTAGACAGCTGGTGCTCAACACAGTAGCTCATTTTGACGAGTTCCTCCCGAACTACTTTAATAAAACATAATTTGTTGAAAAATCCACCAAAAGCAAGAGCTCATGATGAGATGAGGGACCTGAGACGGAGACATCCAGGAGAAGTACCAATGCTAAATTACATGGAATATTGAACTCTATGTAATTTCCTGGAACTCTTTACATGAAAAAGTCACTTCATAATTTACACCTTTAAATGAGAAACTGGATCTTTTCTCATCTGTTCTAAGAGTAATGAATTTATGCAATACAACTCATTTGTGTTTCATTTGTTCCAGGTGTGAGACAGTCTCTCCAGAAGTGTCTTCTGTTCAGCTGTGTGCCTGGCGGACTGAATCGACTGTTCTCTCCATCATCCGCTTTAGCCTATTGGCTTGGAGAAGCAACATTAGCATCTGGCGCTATTGCTTTCAGAAGATGTGAAAATAAATAAACATACTTTTGTGAATAATTTGAGAGTTGATTAGTTCTTCTGAAGGTTCCTGTCAGAAGTTCCTGTCAGAGCTTCCTTTCAGAGGTTCACAGAGATCCATCAAGTCATGATGTTACCACATGTGCCTTCAACTTGTGTAAAGTTGTATATTTTACATTTCATATTTGCTTTTTGGAAACACAGCCCATGCAGGCTGGTTAATATTTGGCTAATTTGAAAATACAGGCATTGGCAAATAAGGGACCGTTCCGTATTTATGGAAAGGACCACCGGAGGAAAATAGGGGAGGGTTGTGTCTACTCGTATTTATTTATTCTTTGTTGAGGGTCATTCCACTTTTTTTACTCTAGGGGGAGGGTCACCCAACTTTTGTATTCATGAAAACAGCAAAAATTTCAAAGTGGCTTGTTTGGTGCATATTTTTTCCATTTAGCTATGTAACTCTCTTGGTCTAGGCACCCCATCGCTATCAGATGGGTCTGATACACGATTCAGTACACGCTCAGAAAAAGTGCATCATGTACAGAATGCCAATTAAATTTTTACCTGCCATAGCTTTAAAGCACGAGCAAGTAATGAACTTTTGTAATTGCGAATAAGTGCATCCTTGTAACATGTGATGTGAATGTACGTCAAGTTTTACACTATTGGGACTGAGGCACCAGAACTGCAGCTGATATAATGTGCGCTGTAGCACGATAGGCTACTACTATAATTCAGTTTCCATTCTGTGTTTCCACAACAATGTTAGTAAGTAAATCTGAAATTGAAAAACTGAAATTGCCACCATAACAGTTGAGTGTGATGCGTTAAACGTAGGGGCTACCACATTTCTAAACTGAGTTAATTAAGTTAGTTAAGTGTGTATATATATATATATATATATATATATATATATATATATATATATATAATTTACACAATTTTTTAATGGATTGCTATGCAGAAAATGATCACATTTGTCTTTGAAACATGCCCTGTCTGCAAACAGTTAAACAAACAAGTGGTTCAGATTAAATGTATACCTAACGGCACAACAGCTAGGCCTATATTCGTATTTTTTGGGCATGTCATGACTTGCAGGCACTCAATTTGTTTTTTAATGGAATGCTATGTAGAAAATGATCTTTGAAACAGCCCTGTCTGCAAACAGTTAAACAAACATGTGGTTTAGATTAAATGTAGCCAATCAGAATGCTTTAGGGGTTTTCTGAATGTCAATCTGCAGTGATGATATTTAGCATTTGTTTTAGGACAGCGATTTAGCTCGTTACTGCAAACAGGCAGCGTGTTTTTATATTTTTATATTTTATATGTGCTTATTTGCAAAAATAAAAATGTGATGGTAAGATATAAAACTAAACTAGCAAATTTCACATCATATTTTCCACCAAGATGGCCAGTCATTTTTTATTTTGAATGATGTCACTGCATATTAATGCAGTTGCAATGGCATCACAACATAATTTTGTGACCTTTAGCAACAAATTGACCTGTTTGTAGCAACTTCACCTGAAAATTAGTTTACAACAGATCTGTTTGCACGTTCACAGTCACATGGGAATCAGTCGTTAAAGTTAGTTCGCCCCCTCCAAAAATTAATTCTGTAATTACACAACCTCATGTTGTTCCAAACCCATAAGACTTTTGTTCATCTTCAGAATGCAAATGAAAATCTTGATGAAATCTGAGAGAATTCTGTTCCTCAATTGGCAACTAAGTTCATAAAGAGATTGTAAAACTGATCCATATGAATTGAACTGTTTAGTCCAAAAAATTCTGAAGAAACATGATCGCTTTATATGATAAACAGATTGAATTTAGGCTTTATAACAAACTATTATAAATAGTTCTATAAATAGTAGGGGGAATCTCGCTATAGCTGACTTAATGACTTGTTTTGCTGGATGTGAGGAGGTTTTTTTCATTTCTGTTGCCCAGCCTGTTTTAGTTAAATGCTCATACTTTCCACTGGGGCTGGAACCAGATGTAGTTCCTGCTGATGATTCATAACTGCACACGACAGACAAAGCGAAGAAAGGATTTCGCTACTTCCAAACAACATGAGCTACCTACATAAATCTAATTTGTTTTGAAGATCTCTTTTGCTGTCTGCATTTGTACACGTACAACATATTTGTAAAACTTGATGGATGTTCAGCACGACCAATTGTACCTCATTGCAATGGAATGTAAGTCTTTCTGTTTCTGGATGGTTTTGAGTTACTAATTTTGGCTCAAAGTGTCACGCTAAGACTTGCCCAAAGATTGTTTGTGCGAAGAGCTTTTTTTCCATGAAATCAGTCTTTGAATGTAATGTGTATCTCATAATAACCGGAATGCATATTTCTTTGTGTCTGTTATTCTGTTTTTTTTTAGAGTTTTTTAAATACTGTTTCTGCTCTCTTGCATGATGGTGTCGGAGAACAAAAAATAACTCATTTACTCATATGTCAGTGTTTCAGGTTTCATTTACAAAGACTCTCTAAAAAGACTTTGTTTAATCGCCATTAATTCACGTTGAGAAAATCCGGAGAAGATGGCTTCTCTCATCTCAGAAAACTTCAAATTTATTGCACTCTTCTTCAGGAGTAAGGATGTCATGATCTTCAATGGTCTGATAGGTTTAGGGACAGTGGCCAGTCAGACAGCATACAATATTTTTGCATTTAACTGTCCATGTTCACCAAAGAAAAATTACCTGTACGGTCTGGCTGCCATTGGTGTACCAGCTCTGGCTTTTTTTGTGATTGGCTTGACGCTCAATCGAAATACCTGGGATGTTGTGTCCGAGTGTCGCACCAGAAAATGCCGGAAACTATCGGTGACTGCTGCTTTTGCTCTTTTGGGCTCTATTGTGGGCAGAGCAGTCGTTGCCCCCATCACTTGGTCTGTTATTTCCCTCCTGAGAGGGGAGGCGTATGTCTGTGCTTTAAGTGAGTTTGTAGACCCCTCTTCTCTGGATAATTTCCCTCCTACTACAAAGATTCCAGAAATCATGGCCCGGTTTCCATGTAAGGATGTACCTGCTCCATATATGAACTACTCAAGAGTGATTGAACGCCAGTTAAAGTATGAATCCCAGGTACTTACCAATTTAACATAGTCTTTTTATCGTCTGAAATTGAATTAATACTTCTGATTTCATGAAAAATGTCTTCTGTATGATATATAACCTCTTTTTATTGTTTGTAGTTGTTGGGCTGGATGCTGGTGGGAATCATCTCCCTTACTGTGTTTCTGCTTCTCTGTCTAAAACACTGCTGCTCTACCCTTGGCTACCAGCAGGAGGCGTACTGGTCCCAGTATCGTTCCAGCGAACAAGATCTTTTCCAGCGTACAGCTGAAGTGTATGCTAAATACAATGCTGTTGAATGTGTCAAGAGCTTCTTTGGCTTTGCAGCCATAGATAATCAGGAGAAGGAGCTTCTAGCAAACTGTCAGGGAATCAAGAGTGTCATACCCAGAATGGAGTGGAACCGCGTCACTGGAGTTTACATGTACAGAGAGGTTGATGACACTCCCCTGTACAGTCGCTTGAACAAATGGGACATGTATACAAAGGAGCTCAGCAATTGAAAAAGATTTTGGGGGTAATAGGTTGGGGGTTTTTGTTTTGTCTTCAGTGGCCCTTTTATACATTCTGAATTCTTTTTTTTTTTTGCATGGTAAACATCATTTTATTATGTCTTTGAAGGCTGTAATTCCGATTTTTCATTTTTTTTTTTTAAATACACATTATGATATGTTTTAGCTTTGTAGATAGGCGATTGGCAGGTTAAAAGGTTATATTTTCATACTGCACAACAGACTATTTAGCGTCTGTTTTATGAGACACGATGTACTCTCAGGTTGAGGTTGACCTCTTGTTATCCTTTGCTAAGCAATAAAGTGCATTTGAAAAATTAGTGTCTAATGAATGAATAACATCTTTCGTAGTACAACAGAATACCTCATCATTTTAACTGACATAATGAAATGTAGTTTATGTACATTTTAAGACTTTAAACTGATGGTTTTATGCAGAATGACCTACAAATTGGTTAGCATCACATATGAGACCGCTGCGATCAACAGATGGCAAGCGTTCAATCTGTAATGCTAAAGTGCTTCCTGTACAAATAAATAAGTGCTACACATAAATCTAATTTAACGGAGATAGTATACTATACTGCCTACACTCTTTAAAATTGTTTCTTTATAACATCGTAACGTCATATGCTAACGTAAGCGTGACTAAAAATGACCAGCACGTGACGTCGTCACAACGTAATATTGTTTGCTGGGATAGAACCATTGCAGGTTCTATGTAGTGGAAAAAGGTACTCTAGGTTATTAAAATACAGAAAAACGAACTGCCTTGAACACAGTACTTTAAACTTGATTAGGAAAGGGCGTAGAGCAGAGATTCGACATGGGAATACTTGGGAAGGTTGAATATCATTTGGGCTGCAGCATTCTGCATGAGCTGCAGAGGTTTGATTGCACACACATTGCTGCCAGGAGTTGCCGTTTTTGAGACAAGAGCAGACTAGTGCTTACTACAGTCTGGCAAATGTTCTGCAGAGGAAGTCTTCATGGTATAACTGTGGTTAGTTAGTGGGTTGCAATTGACAAGTCATTGTCCTGTGTGAGGCAAAGACTTTTTTTTTTTGCTTTCTGTGTGGGTGAGATGGTTGAGTTGTCAATTGAAATTACAAGGTCTTCTTGGCAAGATGGTTCTTGGCTTGAAGGAGCAACAGCTTGGTTTTTGATCATTCAGCTTCAGGTGATGGGTGTTCATCCAGGCAGAGATGATTGCCAAGCATCCAGTGATTTGTGAAGGTTGTCATTTGAATAAAATTGACAATAGAAGTCATTAGAGGCGATGCATGGTGTACAGAGAGAATAAAAGTGGTCAGAGTACAGATCCCTGTGGAATTCCATTGGGTTGTTGATTTGATGAAGTGGATATTTTCATGATATCACATATCTGATCATTTGCCCAGTTTACTGAGGGCTAACTGGCTAAGAGAAAGATTTGGTGGCTCACATTAATCAGGGTTTACATTCACTGGAAGCAATACCAATTTAATTCTCAAAAGCACATCAAAAAGGTCATGTTACTGCATCATTTGCTCAGAGAAGACAATGGAAGTGAATGGATCCCATTTGTAAACACTGAAAATGCTCACTGTTTCAATAGTATTGCCAGAAGATGTAAACAATATTCATGGTAACAGTTATTATGTAAAAAGGTGTCACGATTCCTGTCTTGTGTTTTCCTTGTCTTGTGTGGACTTTAGTTATTTCCTGTTTCTGTGCCATGTTTTGTAGTCCTTTGTAGTCTTTCTTGTTTAATAAGTTTCCCCAGGTGTTTCTGATTTACCACGCCCCCTTGTTCCCTCGTTTAGCTTGTTTGTCTGTGTATTTAAACCCCTGTGTTTCAGTTGTTGGGTGTCGGTCGATGTTTCACTGTAGCGTTGTTCTGAATTCCTGTTTTGAAGTTTCTTTGTCTTCCGTGGATTTCCCTTTTTGTTTGTTTATTATTAAAACTGTTTTCTGCATTTGGATTCCTCCTTGCCTCCTCAACGTTACAGATCGACCGACCAGAATGAATCCAGCAGCACAATTGATGCGCCTCCGTCAGGGTGAGCGATCCATTGAGGATTATGTTGTTGACTTTTTAGAGCTGGCTCATCGGACTTTTTTGGATGAATTATGCTTGATGATATTCTTCCGCGGAGGACTGTCTGAGCAACTCAGCTATATTATGCCATTGCATGACCCGAGCTCGACTCTGGAATGTTATATAAATATAGCCCTAGAGCTGAGTGGCTCTGAACTCACCGTCAGCCCTGCCGAGCCTGCGCTCCCCGCCAGCCCTGCCGAGCCTGCGCTCCCCGCCAGCCCTGCCGAGCCTGCGCTCCCCGTCAGCCCTGCCGAGCCTGCGCTCCCCGTCAGCCCTGCCGAGCCTGCGCTCCCCGCCAGCCCTGCCGAGCCTGCGCTCCCCGTCAGCCCTGCCGAGCCTGCGCTCACCGTCAGCCCTGCCGACCCTGCGCTCACCGTCAGCCCTGCCGAGCCTGCGCTCCCCGTCAGCCCTGCCGAGCCCGAGACCGTCCAGCCCGAGCCCGAGACCGTCCAGCCCGAGACCGTCCCTGCTGTCCAGCGAGAGATGGTCCACGCCCCGTCTGCCCCTAATCTGGGGACTCAACCCAAATATTTTTTGGGGGGGGGCCCAGTGTCCCAGCCGCGGCCACCGGGAGGGTCCTCACCGCCGTGGCCGCCCGAGGGGTCTTCACCGCCTTGGCCGCCCGAGGGGTCTTCACCGCCGAGGCCGCCCGAGGGGTCTTCACCGCCGAGGCCGCCCGAGGGGTCTTCACCGCCGTGGCCGCCCGAGGGGTCTTCACCGCCGTGGCCGCCCGAGGGGTCTTCACCGCCGTGGCCGCCCGAGGGGTCTTCACCGCCGTGGCCGCCCGAGGGGTCTTCACCGCCGTGGCCGCCCGAGGGGTCTTCACCGCCGTGGCCGCCTGAGGGGTCTTCACCGCCGTGGCCGCCCGAGGGGTCTTCACTGCCGTGGCCGCCCGAAGGGTTTTCACCGCCTTGGCCGCCCGAGGGATCCTCACCGCTGTGGACGCCCGAGGGTCCGACAGCTCCGCCCTGGACACCTGAGGTTCCGACAGCTCCGCCCTGGCCTTCGCCTCATCCTACTTCGTCCACGTTCTGCGGCCCAGGTCCGCCTTTGATACCTCCTGGTTCCGTTCCTCTTCTGCTCCACGGACCTGGCCCTCCATCCCGCCCCCAGATCCGCCTCCGCTCCACCTCCCACCTGGACAGTTTTGTTTTTTGTTTTTTGAGCGTCTAGAATCCGCTCCTTAGGTGGGGGGCTATGTCACGATTCCTGTCTTGTGTTTTCCTTGTCTTGTGTGGACTTTAGTTATTTCCTGTTTCTGTGCCATGTTTTGTAGTCCTTTGTAGTCTTTCTTGTTTAATAAGTTTCCCCAGGTGTTTCTGATTTACCACGCCCCCTTGTTCCCTCGTTTAGCTTGTTTGTCTGTGTATTTAAACCCCTGTGTTTCAGTTGTTGGGTGTCGGTCGATGTTTCACTGTAGCGTTGTTCTGAATTCCTGTTTTGAAGTTTCTTTGTCTTCCGTGGATTTCCCTTTTTGTTTGTTTATTATTAAAACTGTTTTCTGCATTTGGATTCCTCCTTGCCTCCTCAACGTTACAAAAGGACTTATTGCGTTTTTGGTGTAATGTTATGTTTTCCAAGGTAACGCAGTGCCATAAACTCTAACGCCCTGGACCACAACAAACTGTAACACAAATTATTGAAATAATCCTTAAAGCACAAATAATATTCAAAATTAGGAATTTTAAGAATGATTCATTTAAATTAAGAATGATTGATGATAATGATTTAATTTCAACATTATGTCACTACTGGCGTCACTGCTTCTGTCACATGCTCATTTTTTCTTTTTTTTTGTTGCTTTATGGTAGGGTTGCTCCGAAATCCCCAGATTCCATCCTATTCTATTCACCCTTTTTACGTCACTCTCTCACTGTTTTTACTGTGTTGTCTCTTGCTGTTTTTTTTTTGCTTGCCAGTCAAGCAAAGTGAATTAACCCTCATTCTGCTCCCAGCCCTGTCTTCATCAGATGAATCAGAGAAAATCTGACTCGGCCTGCCTGCCTGCTCGACTGGCCACTGTCACCTCCTAATAGCCTTCAGCTGGAGAGAAGTAGGAGGAAGAGAGGGAGAGCAAAGGATAGAAAAGGAGAAGGGGAGAGCGAGGAGGGGGCGGGTGAAAGGAGAGCTGTGATCCAGACAACGAATCACATGAGCAGAGATCTGTTTACAAACTGAGCAGGAGAGAAGTCATCGGCACCATTACGTGGAGGCAGGGCTGCTGGAAAAGGCGACAGGAAACACACAGGAATCTCATCACTTTGTCTGGAAAATGCATTATATCCTTTGTGTTTTTGCAGCAGAGAAGCCAGACCAGATGGTGTGAGGAAGACACAGCACTGAATGGGCTGCACTCACAAGCTCTGGCTCTGAGGGCTGTATGCCACTGCTCTTTCTCTTTCTTTGTTACGGGGAAAAGCGTTGATTGTAACGTGAGGGCGACAGTCTAGAGCGAGAAGACTAAAGGAGAGTGGCTGACGGCAGCAGAGGAAGGGGTGAGCTTTGTGACAATGTTTTGAAGATAGACAATGACTCTCTGTAATGTACATTTTCTCTCACTGCTTTGTTATCGTGACTCTACAGAGGTAAAAAAACAAAAACAAAACAGTGACAACAACTTCATGTCAAGCGGACATAGATGGTGATCCATTGTTGATGTGAAAAACACATTGCAGATTTGACATATCTGTGCTTCTGCTTGATTTTGGATCATGATGCTGGAAGAAAAGAGCAGTTGGCTTTCTTTTAACTTGCCTGTGGTTGCACAAAACATAGATACCGAGGTGTAGGTGTTGATATCTGTGCCCGTGTTGACACAGGTCTCAACAATGACCGACTTGTCTTTGTAAATGTTTCAACACAAAGAAAACAGAGTTGCCTCACCTCCCACCAATTGCCAGCGAAGAGCTGGTGTGATCATAATGTGTTAACCAGAGGCGCTGAAGATTCAAATATGTTTTTGTGGTAAGAGTTTTGGAAGTGTAAAACTTGTATTATTCATCTGGTTTTGAGTGAGGGGATCGGCCCACTCCCAGGAGTCCCCTTGGACACAAGTTTCTGAATCTTTTGGTATTGTGGAGCAATCTAGCACCTATCCAGTGGTGTAACGGTGAGTATGAATCATAACCCCCTCCTCCTTCCCTTCCCTTCCCTTCCCTTCTAGTGGCTACATAATCTGGCCAGCTCCCTAACCATGTGTTATGGAGAGAGCCACCGACCCTCCCACTGACTTTCTATCAATGTTTAACTAAAATGCTCCTTAAATTACTACCACCCCCTCCTTCACCTGAAAACTCAAGCCTTTTTACCTTTCTCCTCTTTGGCACACTCTTTTCCATGACCTGAACTTGAGCACAGCCTAAAGAGACACTTTTTGTCTATCTGTTGTGAGAGACACAACATTGTGTGGTTGTTTGGCAGCATTCAGCCCGAGGTCAGTTATTTTTGTTTACCCCCAAATGTTGCTTCCTGTCTGGGTTGGTGAGGCCTTCACATCTCTTGCCTCCCCCTCAACCCCTCATCGTAGGCCAGATGGTGGCTTTATGGCAGAAAGGGTGCACTAGTAGTGTTTGTCTTTATGCACAGACAATTGGCCAGGCTTCACTCTCATTGCCAAATGCTCTCTCCGTTGAAAATGCAAATCTGTATACAATAAGAAAAATAATAGTTTCATGTTTTAATAAAGGGCTTGAAATTCTGAAAAACAGTTAACCTGTTAACTTGTTTATATCACATTGTCTCCTCCATTAGGAAGTACTGTTCCCCGAGTAGCATTTTTTTCTTCTTCTTCTTCTTCTTTTCTGAAGCATTTAAAAGTTGTATTCAACTCATAGTTCCATTTGAGTGTTTTTAACCCTTTTACAAAAAGGAACGCTGAAATCTTCTTTATGAAAAGTGCATTATATAAAAAACAATTTAATTAAATCATATAATATTTGTAGCCAAGCACAACTACAGCATTTTCATTTACTCTCTGGTCACTTCAGCACAATGGAGCGTTTCTTGTCTGCTTTTGTTTCGTCCACAAGCACAGCACAATGAAGTGTGCATGTTTATTCTTTATGTTAGTAGTGTTTTGGTATGGCATTTGGAAAATATTAACCATCATGTTACAGAAAACACTACTTTGTCAGAAAGCCCAGGGCAATATTAAATCTATCAAATCATATAGACAGCATTTTGGATTAAGAGATAACCATTTTGCTCCCAAATACAACTAAAAGCCTTGTAACATCAGCTGAATGTGTTTGTGTTGCTATTTACATGTGTTGCCTCAGGATATAGGTTAAACCATTGTTGTCTGAACAATGTTCACTGCTCTGGAAATTCTCCAGCGTGTGATGAAATGGCTTGAACCCTGAAAGTCAACATGGTGCAACAAGGACTTTTGGATGACTTCTACAAGACTTAAGTAAATAAATGGCTCACTTTTCATTTTGAGAAGTGTTTTCCATCACAACAAAGTGTAAAGGCTGCATTATACATACAGAAAATTCTGTAAAAGTTTAAATGTGCACATTAATCTGTGGCATTAATTATATTTTGTTGTATTAAATAAACAGTTAACATTTTGCTGTAATTTGAAAAGCCAAGTTGGATTTTACCCTGACACGTTTTGAGAGACAGAGCCTAGGTACGATACATACAGTAGCCTAAATAAAGAACTTTAAAACAAAAACGATTGCGCTTGGCTGTTGAACACATCATTCGGCACCACTGTGACATCTCTTGTTTTTTTTTTTTAAGATGTATTACAGTGAAAAGTTCATGCTGCTCAGCAAGGTCCAACAATGAGAGCAGTGTTACATGGAGTTGAGAAACACGAGGACAGTCCTCAGGCTCACAGTATGCAATATGCATGCAGGGGCCACTGAGAAGAGTACACATGAGAATCACAGTGATGTGTGTTGCCTTTCAAGGGTCTGACAGAAAGAAATATGCGACCCACTCACATAACAGATGCATGAAAGATGGGTGATCAAATCAATGTCTATGCTTTTATCACATTTGAATTGTGTATTCATTTTACTGATAAAAAAAAAGATGAGCCGTGAACTCCCATGACTCTCACCATAAACTCTAACAAATATTTTTAACCAAAACATGGTTTTGTTTTGTCTCTTGCAGAATGCCTATGTGACACAGACTAACAGATTACAGACAAGTTCTGCAAAATGACCACAGACATTACCGGTCGTCTCCCACTCAATGTCTATGTCATCATTCTTGGGATAGGCCTCTTCGTCTTCATGTTGAGCATGATCTTCTGTTGCTACCTGTTCAGGTATACTTAATAAATAAATAAACTAAAGTTTTAATTGTTGTGGGTGAACAAAAATGAAGTTAAAATGACATAAAATTCTAAAAGAATTGGGCCATAGCTGTATCAAGCATCATAAGGCAAGTGTAGCGCATTTTAATTTCGTTTAGAATGGTAACACTGTCCTTTTCCATAGGCATAATAAAGAAAGAAAAAATGTAATACAAGTGCAACTAGTAAGGAAAAGTACAGTGCAGAAACTGCAGTTCTCATCCCAAGGCGTCATCTAACTAACGCTTTTGACCATGTGTCAACATTCAACACTTTAGGCACCCTTTAGCGTCAGTTAAATGAAGCTATCCTAGTGGTCTAACCCTAACCCTACCCCAGACCTAAACCTACCCGCGTCATCTAAGTGACGCTAAAGGTAAAGCAATCCTAAAGGGTGCCTAAAGTGTCAGATGTTGACGCATGGTCAAAAGTGTCAGTTAGATGACGCCTTGGGATGAGAATGCGTTGGTAGTGAACGATTGCTGATACAGGTTAAAATGGATACTTTTTAATCTATGTATATTTCACAGACTGAGACGACAGGGCGCACAAGAACAATTTGGATATAATGAGGTAATTTCTATCCTTTATGGGGTAGTACGCAGTGAGTTTTGTATGTTACTTGACATACAATACATGCGTACGATAGACATTTACATTATTTATTTATTTTTTACAGGTCGTTCTAAAAGGTCCGGGGAAAAAATTAAGTCTTCTTGGAGTGAGTACCTGTCAAACCAATACCTTAAGATCCACTTAAACATAAAAAATCTCAAATTTCTATCATTTCATTTTCCATACATACCTCATGTCATTCCAAACCTGTATGTTTACCCCCCACTCGCTTCTATCTTTTTTCTTCTTTTTTCGTTATGTTCCAAAAAGGTTTGAAATGACAGTGAGGGGAATGATTAAAATTTTTAACTATCCCTGTAACTCTAACAATGCATTGAACCATTACAATTGTTTAAATGTATAGAAATTGTAAAATAAATATAAAGCCTCTAGCTTTTTTTTTTTTCATCTTTCATTTTGCAGCAGACCTGTGCGGTTTGCCTGGAAGAGTTTCGGAGCCGGGATGAACTAGGGGTCTGCCCTTGTGCTCATGCCTTTCACAAGAAGTAAGATCTCTTTCTCAACCTCACAACCTTTCTCATTATGTTTCCGTATTCAGTAAATAATGCATTAGGAGGATGCTGTATTTTAAAACACTGATTGATGGATTACAATGTGAAAGTTTAAAACAACAAACATTAAAGCATGCTATAGATTCTTGACACACAGAATACTGCATATTACAAAAATGTAAATATGTAGGAATCTCAAATTAAGCTGTCAAGGCATTGCCTCAAGGAACACTTGTCACTGTTTGTTGTCATCTTGTGACGTGGCTACAGTATAATGCAAAACAGCGCTTGAGTCTAGATAGCTGATACATTATAGACTCGTCTTTCCTCTTTTCACCTTGTCTACTGCTCAGGTGTCTGGTGAAGTGGCTGGAAATTCGCAGCGTCTGCCCCATGTGCAACAAGCCCATCTGCAGGCTCCAGCCAGACCCTCTGCAGGGGGCCGAGGGGCCCCAGAACCCCCTGGAGGTGTGACCGATGAGGGACATCACTGCTCAGAGATAGGCAGGCTCTCACACACACACCTAAGCACAGCATTAAAAATCACCACACTACTGGAGCGGGTGGACTAGTCCTAAATACACATCCACCGTCCCTGTCCACCAATCACCATTTCCCAGTGGAACTGAACTGATGTGACGTGTTCTTGGTCATAATGTACTGTAGCTTGCAGCAAGATAAATCGATGCCTTGTGGACTCCAAACAGATCAAGAAGAATATTCAAACCAGGGGAGATGACCAAAACATGAGGTCTGAGTTGACACTGTGCAATATGTGCAGTCATACAGTATTCCTGTCTAAGAGAGACTCAGTATTATACCATAAAGAGTCAAGTTTAGGACTGCCCAGTTACAGAATCCAAAGTTAGGAGCTGCTCAGTGGCCCGAGTCCTGACCTTAAGGATCTGTGAGCTCATTGGTTTTTACTCTTGCCAACATAAATGTGTTTCTGAGTGTTTTGAGGAGCTCATGGTCTTGGTGAGAACCTGGAACCCTCAGATTTGGATGCAATTTGGCCTAATTTAAGTTATTTAAAGTGGATGTTTTGTACTATATATATGGCTCTCAATAAAATTTAAAGTTTTTGTGATGGAACCCATTTTTGTGTTTCTTCATTTCTATGAAAAATCATGTTAAGTTTTCATAATTAGAAACCTGTTTTATTTTGGAACACCAAGGATTAATCTCATTGTTACAAAAAATCTGCAAATTAATTGTGTATATAGCTGTCAAATTTGTATACTTTAATTCAGTAAGGATGCATAAAAGGATGGAATAAATGCTGTTTGCACAAAAATATTCTGCACTACTGTTTTCAACATGGATAATAATAATAAAATATATTTTGTGAGCAGCCAATCAGAATATTAGACTGATTTCTAAAGGATGTGACACTGACACTCGATAACCCTTTGAAATGACCTGTGTTGTTGTAACCTACTGTAGTCATAATATTAAATAATCAAAACATTATAGTGTACATTTTCCTTCTTATCTATTTACTAGAACATTTCCATGACTCAAAATAGTGAGTGACAAATGAACTCATGACTTGTGTGATAACTGAATTGTCTTGAATTTCTCAGACGTGATCGTTTCTAGTGCACGAGTCAACAAAACACATTAATGAAAGGCTTGTTATTTTAAAAAGCTAGACTGGTCAGCTCATATAATCTTTGTGGGCAAGTGTGAACTTGCTATAAGCAGCTGAGGAACATGGAACACAGGGACATATTCTCTGAGTGTTGGACAAACATAATTCTTATTATTAAAAGAGCCAAAAGTAAATAATATTTCTGAGCTGTACAAATTTGAGATGTTGTGATCTGCTGCAGTGTGTTACTTGAGGATGACACTTTGCCAGGCTAAAATATTGCTCCAGAAAGAAGCCAATTAAGTGATAATATACACAAGACTAGCATCACTTATGTCAATATATTAACATTTATATGCACAATCACTGGCTTTAACGTCAAGAACTGTCACCAAATTAGCATAGTTACAATGCCATATTTAGGCTGCATAGCTGACTCACTAAACCAATAGAGGCTGCACTTCATGTTCCTCAAACGGAACACTTTTTGAGTCACTCTGATTGCACGTGTATATTACATTAAAACTTCTCATCCTTAAAAGCATAAATACTTGAAGTTGTGAGGGAAGTTTTATCTCATCAGGAGAAAATGAGGAAATGCACATGCTTACTAAATTAATAAATTAGGGATTGAACGCAATTCAAATAACAACAAATGGCCTCAAGGAACAGCTTTGTCTTGTTTGTTCATCGCCTTGCTTATGGTCTTTTTTACAACTAAAAGCAGTGAAATTGATAACTGCTAAAAAGAGTAATCTGAGCGCCCCCTGGAGGTCAGAATCATGTATGACTAGATTCAGTCAAGCTAGATTCGCATTTTAAATCGACTAAAAAAGTAAATAAATAATGGACAAGAAACCAATAGAAATGCATAAAACCAACAATACGCCAACATAAAATATTGTAGGCCTATTTGTATGTGTTTATTTTCAGAAGAGACCCATCTTTCTTAAAAAAACAAACAAACTGAAGATATATAATTTTTAAAAAGTGTTCTCGAAAAACATATAGGCCTGCCCCAAAACCTGTTATTTTTTTATTTTTTTTTATAGCAAGAATAAGTGTGGTTATCTTGAATAAAGAATCAGATGACTGTCAACTCCTCTTGAGCCATTTGAGACAGTAATTTCAAACCTCTCTCTGCTAGACTGTTGAATGCATGTTTTTATATGCTAAATGGGCTATATGCATGCGTAAGTTCCGCATTTGACGCAAGGATGCTCATCCTTTTCCGGTTGTGGAGATTCAAGCGGAGGAGAACAGAGGAAAACGGGATTATGGCAGTCTTCAAAATTTACTGTCCTCCCTTCTTTGAAACGAAACGTACATACGTTTAGATGTAATTTTATATATAGCCTATGTTTATTTATTATAATTTTAAAAAGAAGCATAAACACAACGAGGGGTGTCTGTTTTATCTGTTTTTGTGACTATAACGTTTCTTTATTATAACCACGGAGTATAAAATTCAATATAAATTCTCGGTATTGCATTGGACTCTACGATCGGCGGAAGTTATCGAGCATCCTTAATCCTTCACCGTAGAGCCCATTGGGATTTATTCATTAGTCTGAAGTAATAAAGCAAGTTCATTCACCAAAAAAAAAAAAAGATTTTGAAGAATGTTGGTGAATTAATGCAGCATTAATCATTGGTTTCCAGTATTTTTCCATTACTAGCCTAAACGTTACTAACATTCTTCAAAATATTTTCTTTTGTGTTGACATCCATACAGGTTTGGAACAACTTGAGGGTAAGAATGAGATATTGATAAAAAAAATAAAATAAAAAAAAATTTGGTGAACCATTCCTAATGAACACTTTGCAGCGTGTCTGGATCTAAACATTTTTTTAATAAAATAAAAAAAGTCTGTGTGTGATTATTCTTAATCAGAGTAACGATGGTAAAAATTCATTGTTGTTAACCCTGGAGTGCAGACTTGATGCGCCCAGAGACGGCAGGGCACAATTTACCCACACTTCCTTTGGCTTTGAGTTGCCAACTGGCTCAATACAGACAACATAAACTTTTCATTGTCTAAAGTTACGGAATCCTCACCACAGGCTTTCGACATGGTTTTCACAACTTATCTGTCTGCTCTGCCCTTCTTTTGAAAACGTATCAGCTCATTTTTTAACATTGGTTGGCACACATCTATCTGTCATTCTTTTCCACTATCTGCAATCTGTTAATTTCTTTTAAATAGTTGTATGACTTCTATGTATGCATGCAAGAGGCTGGTTATAACAACCATAGGGTTAGAAAAAAAAATACATTCTTACCTAAAAAATCTATTTTTTCTTTATGCAATTTACCCATTTACCGCCTTGGCAACCATTCATGAAATGATCTCCTTATCCCTGATTAATTGGTGGTATTACCACTCTCTTCATGTTACAACCATACCAAGTTTCCCCCATATTGTCACAACCATGGCAGGCTCCACCCTCACACAATCACAGTGCACTCCCTGTCCGTAGTACTGATCACACACCTGCACATCATCAGTACTGCAATCACCTTCTGCATGTAAACCTCACTCTCACTCTCATTCTCTGTCCGGTATCGTTCGCATCAAGACGCTAAGGCTGTGCTTACCTCTCCAAACTCCATCACCAACTCCAATTATTTGAACGGTGTTCTCCAAGGTTGATCGTCTGGATCTCTTCTCACCCAAACACCTTCACCTGATGGATAGAGATTGTGTCCGTTTTGTTTAATGACAAAGTGAAGTTATACATTTATAATATATTTATAATATATAGGCCTAGATAATTAATTTTTTTGTGTTTCTCTCCAGGGTATTTTGCTGTTAATACATGGCATCCAAACAAAAACAACAACTTAAACTGTCTGTAAAACTGTTTCACATATTGGTTTGCCAAGTATTTTTGTTATTTGTACTTATAGCTGCTTTAAAATGTGCTAATATATGCATGTTTTTTCTGCATTAAATGTAATTCCTGGAGATTTCTAAATAAATATACAACTTATCGAGGGAAATAAAAGGTAAACAACATGCGTTTTCATAAATAATAATCATTTATTATAAATGGATTCTTTTTCTGATTGATTTTCTACAATAAGACTCCATTGACCAGTTAAGACAACCAGAAGGGAAAAAAGGGTTCAAATAGGCATGAAATTACAAGCACCTTCCTTGACCTAATTACAGTGACTAGCCTCATCTCACCAGATGCCCTATTTTGATGGTGTTGGTGGGACGAGGTGGGGGGGATTCAATTCTCGTCATCTATGGAGGTCAATGTTTAAACAGTGTGCCTCACTTTTCTGAATGACCTCATTGGTCAATATGCCTTTTCTACAAATTCGATCAAAAATATCTTTAAATATTTGCATTTGAAGTCAGCGAACATAAAAATGTTCTCCAAATGGCATTTTCATGAGACTGTGTTGTCTTCTTGGTAGTCATTTGTTTAATAGGCTACGTGTATTGAAGTGACAGCTAGCTCAGAGATATAGATGAACTTTGAAATAACTTACATTATTAATACTGGTCAGCAGTACTGATGTAGACTCATATAGTTTGGCTGTCAGGGAGTTTAATCATGGCAATAGATTGTCACTTTTCCTTGTGTTTGGAGGATTACAAATTCGCTTTTTAAGAACATTTTCTCCTTTGAATCAATGGTAATTGCTTCAAGCTTTAAATGAAAATCAGATTTACTAAATCCTGGATTAAGCTGTTAAACTGATAGACCTTCTCACTTTCCCCTCTTCAAGACAGAGTAAATCTTTAATCTGCTCAACACTGTCTCAAAGTAACAGGAGTAGCTTGTAACATATGGCCTTTTTGCATAGGACAGCCTCGGACTCCAGACAAGCCGATCATGTGAATGAGTGAAAAACAAGGCTGTTCCACATGTCTGGACCAAGCCCTTTAAACAAGACAAGCAGCAGCTGGTAAGCCATGCCAATCTGCAATCAATGAAATCAAACCAGTAGATTGGGCTTATATGCCCAATTGAACAGCACAATTACTTATCCAATGCAAAATGACCTGACAGCATGAGCTTATTAGGCTTGAATCGTGTTCAGCTGGGACATGAATTATGTACAAGATCCAGAGATTTATTATTTGTGCAAAACTTACTGATGTATGATTGCCTGTACCTGCAAGAAAATGTGTCAAAGAGAAATAAATATACTTCATATTAATATTTATGTTATAATTAATATCATATTGTGCATTTTATACCCTTATTACATTTGTAATTAAACTGGTTAAAGCAGCTTTTTTGCTACATTTTTAAGGAAACTTGAATATATAAAATCCAAAATATCTGTATAAACAAATATAAGAAGTAACTCTTAATACTAAATCAAGGTAGAAATGATGATTTGTGACTAATTTTTATTCTTCAACAGGCTTTTTTTGGGGCAAAACTGTGACTGTATATGACCATCTGAATCTATCCCTGCTTTATTTGATTCACATTGAACAGATTGAGATAGACAGCTTGTCGAAGTCTTCTGTCTGTCTCAGTTCCTCTGAGACACTCACATCAATTATTTATCATCCCAGAAATGTTTTTCAATGTTGTCATCCATTTACTTTAATGTTTAGTAGAAAGGATTTGAAACTACAATGAAATTACATTTATATTAAATAAAATTTTAAAGTATGAATGGATACTAATACATAATATAAATTACGTTAATTTTTAATAACAATATAACGATATATATATATATATATATATATATATATATATATATATATATATATATATATATATATATATATATATATATATATATATATATAACACAATTAAAACACTACATTAAACATTTATAGTATAATGTTAAATATTATATTTTATATATTATATTAAAATAAATATTAAATGTACTACCTTAAATTTTAATATTTAATACATCTAATTTATTAATACATACATTATAAATGTATAGTAGAAACAAAATAGCATTATAGTAATTATATGCAATTAACATACAGTACACATTATATTTTTATAGCAAATAAAACTATTACTTTATTAATTCATATTGAAGATTATATTAAAAGGTTAATGTCTTCATATCATGTAATAAGATTTAGATTTTGAAAAATAAATTGCCAAAATTGATTCCATATAGGCAATGAGTTGTAAACAATGTTCTTGCCCAAGAGATGCAGACATTTGCTTGCTTAAAGATGCATGCACTTTTAATTAGGTAATCCTTGTCATTCACCCCTGGTTGTTTCAGTGGCCCAGGACAGATGGTAAGTTATCTATGTTTGTAACGCATAGACCAGCCTAAGTTAATTGGAATGTCATTAAAGTTTGAGTTGGGGTGGGGAGCTAGTTCGAGTGCACTACTCCTGCTGTTGGATATGTGCGTTTCATTAATAATAATGGATGTTTGGATGGAGCAATAAGGGTGGGGCTCCACCTGCTGCCACCTGTTAATACCAGAGCTCTATATAAGCATCAGTCATCCTTATGGCAGACCACAACCACTATCCTCAAGTGCTGCACCACTATCTGGATTTATTTCACTACAGGGACAAGAAGAAGACATTGTGTCTGAGGAAACTTTAGACCTCAAAGGATCCGTTTTCAATTTCAAGACCAACGTTGGCCTATGAGGACCTTTGGCCCAGAAGTCATGAAGTCCCGCAGATCGAGCTGTGCAGATTCAGGGTCGGAGTCTGACTCCAGGGACCCAGAGAAGTTCGAGAGTGCCATTCGGCGAAGGATGGCAGCCAATGCTCGAGAGAGAAAGAGGATGGAGGGCTTGAACACGGCATTCGACCGCCTCCGCAAAGTTGTTCCTCAGTGGGGTCAGGACAAGAAACTCTCTAAATATGAAACACTGCAGATGGCCCTGAGCTACATTATGGCCCTCAATCGAATCCTGACTGACGCCAGCAAACACACAGCTCCGGAGAAAGACTGGCTGAACCTACAGTTTGACGGCCTACAGCCAGAGACCTATTCTTGGTTTATGAGCTATAACTCCCCTGTGGAAAATAACTGTATGCATCCCTCCTTCTCCTACCACTACGAAAGCCTCTAAGCTCTCAGGGACTGATACGCAATGGCGCATTCACTTGTATCTTTCTTTGCGCAGATACAGGAGTCAGTATGTATTACTATGTAATATTTTATGTTTATGGTTCTGGAAATCAAGTGTTTGATTAGCTTTAATAGAGTCTAAAGCATTCTAGGAGTAGAGTTGCTTAAATTGTTGCAAAAAAAGTTAAGTTTTTCTGTACAATTTTAGAAAATCTTCCATCATGCATGTTGAAAAGGATGACTAAATGATGATATTTTTCATTGCTTTGTATCAAATCTTTGTGTTTAGTGTGTCCTCAGCTAAGTCAAAGCTGAAATACACTGTCATTTTATTTTGCCAAAATGGCATCCTAAAATGCTGTTCCAATTTCTTATTGATTTTTTAGTATTAAACTCAATAAGGGAAAAACGAATTTGGATGGATTTAAAATTGAATCTTGTAACAGTGTCCATATGTAGATGTATTTTGAGCTGTAGTCAGGATTTAAAATGTTTTGTTTATAATGTAGTTACCAAATAAACACTGAAATAAAAGACTTTGTGTACAGTACATTAATGTAGGAATAACATTTTATCCACTATATATACTATACCCTAATCTGTTTAAAAAAAAAACTACAGATATATATCTGTAGACAAGATGAGAATTTTTATGTTAAATTCTGTACACTTTTAATGACATGCACACTGAAATGAGATTTGCAATAAAATAAAATTTTAGTACAGCATTTTTGTTTCTTTATAAAGGCCTGAATACAAATACCAGTTCTCATGGTGTGCACACTGGACAGATAGACACATTTCGGTGAAGCCCTCTGTGTCCCAAGATAAGACAACACCAAACAAATGTCTCTGCTGTCAGTTCAATGAAGGAATAAATAATGTTTAAAGGACTGAATGACGTCACGGTTGAACTGTGTGTCCCATGCGCTGTACAGACACTTTTAAAGATTAGAGTAGAGTTTAATTTAGAGAGGAGATGAATCACTTTGCTGTCCAATGACTGTGTATAACGTGCCTTTTCAGTGCTAATGAGGCGTGAGCGGGCAGAGTTCGGCTGAAAGCGTGTACATAAAGCGAGATACACCCATCTTAATCCATTTAGCTTCAGCTGTCATTATGACCAATCATCATATCATGATCATTATGTAGCTACTAAACAGACACCCTACAATTATTTTAAAATTATTAGCCTACTAAATTAGGCAGATTAAGATCAAGACACTGTTCATTTTATTTTATACTAAAGTCCATATTTTGTGCAATCGTATTACATCTTGCAAATGTTAGTTTACAAATGTTTGAATGAGAAACAAATCGCTAGTAGGCCTACTTGAATATGAGTAAATGGTTGCTTATGTATAACAGAGGTTTGGTCTACAAGGAGGTGCTATGAAATCTGGAAAAACGTCAAGGAAAATTTGAAGGGGAAAAGTAAGTACACTCTAAAAATGCTGGGTTGTTTTAACCCAACTTTGGGTCAAACAGGGACAAACATGGACATTGGGTTACATTTTTACATTACATTTTTAACCCAACCTTTGGGTTTGTCCATATTTTACCCAAAATTGGGTTTAACAACCGAGCATTTTTTAGAGTGTAAAGTAAATGCTGAGTAAAGTAAGCATAGCTTCACCTACAGAATAGACTCTGTTATCTTAATATTTACTCTCTCCACACCAGTGGAATGTGCAGAATTATTATTATTTTAATGTTTCCAGCCATAGCAGCTTTTTTGGTCATTTTCACAAAAATGTCATGCCCCCCAGAATATTTTGTTGTATGAATATCTGAACATAAAATTTATCATAAGATTGAACAGATCATCTGCTTAAAAAAAAAAAAAAAAAAAAAAAAAAAAAACAATACCTATGTGGGTAAGTTCAATAAAAAAGCAACGTTTTTAGCAAAAAACTGAGAAAATCACGTTTTTGTTAAAGACTACAAGATCGGATTCAGAACGATCAAATCATATAGATCGAGTCCATCAACACCTATACAAAGCACTCCCAACACTTCCTGTGTTTATATTTCAATGATAACGTTTGGCCGTTAACATCCCAAGGCATCATATACTGACGCTTTTGATATTTCGTCTACATCCAACGCACATGGCACCCTTTAGCGTCAATATGAGACGCAGATATATATGGGCCAGAAGGTGCCTCCTAGCGGTGTAATCCTAAACCTACCCCAGACCTAAACTTACCATAACCGGACAAAGCTCTGTGCCTGCTATATTGATGCTAAAGGGTGCCATGTGCGTTGGATTTAGACGAAATTTCAAAAGTGTCACTATATGACGCCCTAGGATAGACAGCAAAGGTATATCGCCCAAGATAGCCTAACAGTCAAAACACGTAAAGCCGAAAAAGTAGACTAAACATTTTCAGATATTATTTCAGTCATTTGTTTTAGATATCTGCAAACAGCTAATAGTTATTTAAGTAATTTAATTACTACTTCTGTGCATCTTTACAATTAAAGTTTGATCTTTGTTTCAGGATGTCTAAAACAATTTGACGCAAATTCACATTAGCTGTGCATTGTCAATGACGCTGTTCTATCTTTAGCTGATGTTTCAGTTTCCCTAATGGCATGGATTGTGTTTTTAATGGATGTGTAAACAAATGACCAGCCCCTCCTTCCACAGAATCAGAGGATTCAAGGAGAAAGGTATAAATACAGGTTGAACCTATCCCCAGGCAAAAGCTGCACTTGAGCATTTCATGATACATCCATCTACCTTAACCTCTCCATTTACCACAATGCAACACTTCAATACCCAGGCGGAAAATCAGCTAGGCAATACAGTATTGTGTGAGCTGGATGACTTTGAGAAAGGAGCCTGGGTGAATCAGGCCTACAGTGGCACTCCTGCACCCATCAGGCGCCCCATCAGCACCATCTACAACCCTCAGCCCATCTTTCACAATTCTTTGGAGAACATGAACCAACTGAATATGCCTAACCCCTATTTAGCCGAGGATAAGGTGAGAACCCACTCCACTGAGGAGAAGTCGTCTGGATGCTGCTCCTTTTTCTTAAAAGCCATCAAAGGTAAGGGAGGTGCTAATATTGTTTTTTTATATATATATATAATTTATTGTTAATGCAATAAAATATATATTTTTATTATTTAATATAGAAATATTACTAATATATTCAGTTGTATTATTTTAAAGTATAATACTTTATAAATACATCATAATAAATACATTACTTCATATTATTGTAAGTTAATAAAAATAAATAAATACAAGCAAATAAATAAATATAAAAATCATTGTTTCGGTTTTGGTAGGACTGTGGGGAACAGCTCTAAGAAAAGACACAAAGGAGAATCCTGAGCTTAATGTCAAAGCAAATCTCAAAGAACTGGTCATCTACATTGTTTTCCTAGTGGATTTGTGTCTGTGTAAGTATTAGGTCGATTGTTTGATATATTTATCCCTGTCTGAATGTATTGTTTTTAGGACCGCCTGTTGGAGTTGAAACCACTGAATGGATCAATATGTAAAAAGTTATTTCATCACAGCTTTTTTTCTTGTTAATGTGGTTCAGAAAACTTACTTTGAGTTTCTGTTGATTAAACCAATCTTCTTTCTATTAACTCATATTTTGAATGTCAATGTCAACTCAAAAGTTGCAAGGTAACAACATTTATTTTTTTTTACAGTTTGTAGCTGTGGATATTAAGGTATATCCATTAAAACATTTGCATGTATAAATGTAAAACTGTTCAAATGCAATTAGCTTGCTCTTTTGTCTTTTTGATCATACTGGCTGTAATCTGAACTAATGGTTTCCCATTATCTAGCGCTCTATTATGATCAGAGATGTGTATCAGACTAAGTGCTTGTTATAAAATGTCCACTGCTCCCCTGTGTTACAACACAGCATTGTCCAGGGGAAAATTAGGCCTGAAAGGAACACAAGCGGGACCCTGCTGTCTTTTACTGATAAGAGCTCAGGTCAGGCAATTGAGGCTTTGTTTGTGCTGGTCACATTGTTCAAGAGAGCTATTTTTCGGTGTTCAAACAAATAACCCTCCTCTCATCCCTGGCCGCAACGTTCGTGACGTGAGCGCTGCTAATGGATGAAACTTCAATGAATTGATATCCTTTATCTGTGTGGAGGGTGAATGGTGTAGCACGTCTGTGCAAAGTTCAATAAGTGATGTGATTGTGGTTGACTGATTGCAATCATGTTCTCATGCAGTGACCTATGGCATGACCAGCAGCGCCACCTACTACTATACAAAAGCTATGACTGATCTCTTTGTGAATATACCGAGTGGCAATGGATTCAGCTTTAACTACATCAGCAGCGTGAATGACGTCTGGACAGTGAGTTTTAGCAGATTTTGATGCGAATAAAAATCAGGCTTAATATGTATTGATCTATTTGTAATACTAAAATATTTTAATTATAAATATTGGTCTTTCCCTTGTATTTTTAAAGTACAATAAATAAAGTAGGCCTACAATTTATTCCAACACAAATTCCAAGTTTTGGAACTTTATAAAAATGTGTTTTATGTAATATATTTTAAAATAATATTACTGTTTGTATAATATTATTTTTTAATGTAGTTTTAAGCATATTTAGTATTAAAAACATCATAATAAATGTTTGTCTATTTGTAGGACAGATTCAGTAAGTCCCTCTTGCTATGATTTGTTATTTAATCTTTGCAGTACATGGAGGGCCCATTACTTGACAGCCTGTACTGGACTAAGTGGTATAATGATGAGCCTCTTCAGAATGAAAATCAATCCTTCATTTACTACGAGAACTTGTTGTTAGGAGTCCCCCGCATTCGACAGCTCAAAGTGAAGAGCAATTCCTGCAAGGTGCACAAAGACTTCCAGCAGGAGATCTCTGAGTGTTTTGATGTGTACAGCGACAAGAAGGAGGATGACAGCAGGTTTGGAATGATCAACGGAACAGCGTGAGTGACATTTATGATTAGCAACGGTCGTGTTTCTCACTTTGGGTGTTGAAATGTGTTTATTTATGAAATATAATCGTATTATTCTTCAGCTGGCAGTACCACTTAGAAAAGGAGATGAAAGGGTCAAGTCACTGGGGGATACTGACCACATACAGTGGAGCGGGATATTACCAAGATCTGGCAAAGACCAAAGAAGAGAGTGCAGCTATCCTGAATGACCTCAAAGAAAACCGGTGGCTTGATCGTGGAACTCGAGTTCTTTTCATTGACTTCTCTGCATACAATGCCAACATCAATCTCTTCTGTGTTATAAGGTACTTGACCTAAATCAAGATCATATATAATGTCCAAAATGATATGTCCAAAATTATACATTTGGTTTGCTAGGTTAGTGAATAAATAGAATGTGTATCCCTTTCAAATGTACAAGGCAATGTAATTTCTGATTACATAGGACTATTTTTAGTGCTGTTGATTAATCATAATTAATCAATTCTAACATAAATGTTTGTGTTTATATAATGTGTGTGTGTCAGTATACATATATATATATATATATATATATATATACATATATATATATATTAGGGGTGTAACGACGATAAACAACGTCTCGGTTTGGTTCAGTTTAGAAAGCTAAAATTGCTTCTTCTTCTTTTTTTTTTTACAATGGTTTAATGAAAAAAGTCTTTATCTTTAAATTAATTAAATTACAATTAAATGTTTTGCAAGGATTAAAAA